ACGGATGATTTCATACACTATAATTGTCAGCTGTATGCGAGAAAATGCCAATGCACCGTGGAGGTGTTATAAATGATAACAGGGAAAAATACATTGATAATATGTTACTGTAACTGCTCATTTCCACGAATCAACAGCTGAATGAACAAATATGCGTTCATCATGATGAACAGTCTGTTGAAATATCCAGGAATATCCAACATCAATCCCCTCCCCCCCCCGTATATCCCTCCCGGACCACGATTCTCACCTTTCAACTGCCCGATAGCTTCTTCATTTCTTCGAACAGCCTCACTACCGTCTGCATTCAGATTTCGTAACGCTTTCGACTGCTCATCACATTTTCGAGCATTCTGCTGCAAATAAAACAAGTTCACTTGAATAATTTTCAAGTGAAAATACTCGCCTCGATGCAGAGTTCTCATCTTGACATCTTCATTTCACCAGTCATTATCTATCCTATTAAAAATTAAATTCATTTGTAGATCTATCATTCCATGCCCTTATTTCAGAATATTCAAAACAACAACCAATTACAGATAAATCACTGACCAAACACGACATCTGTATCGATTCCAACTTGCGATACTTCTCCAAAGTTTCTGAAATAAAAATTTCGTCACCACATGACCACTTCGAATCACCACTCATAAATGATCTTCATTTTACTACAGAAAACAGCAAAAAAGCAAAAAAGTAATCAAATTTTTTCATTGTATTTCTTGCAAACAACGTTAAATACGATGTGATGCTCTGGAACAAGAATGCTATCAGCACTATGGATGAAATGTGAACGCCAACACGAATGACTTTACAGACAACGCGTCATGGAAACAAATGTTTTGAATAGACCATAAAATCACAATCACTTATTTACAGATGCCATTCAAATGAATTTAAATTTAAAGACGAGAATACGACGAAAATACACGCTTTAATAAAGGATAAAAAAGTGAATCGAGAGATGACTGTCTAGAAATACTTAATTTCTCGATAACTGTTCAGTGAACACAAATGAAATGATGAATGAGACTGATTGGAACCTTTCATAATCAAATTGTGTTTGTTTTGCATCTCAGACATTAACTTTTCCACTCGTTGATTACGTTCGATCATCACTGAAACAAAATTGTCACTCGTTCGTTTTATTCAATGAACCTTTCGGATAATTCAACAAGCTCATTCTATTTCGGATTTTTGAAGTATTGTTCTAATTTTACTCACCATACTCAATACAACATTCAGTTTCAAACGCAAGTAATATTATCATGAGCTGATTTTGAAACACGATTATCTCAAGTATTCTATCAGGATCATTATTATCGCTAACATTATGAACACTACTGCTATCGTTATTGTTACTTTCAATGAAAGTGTTGATACTGAACCACTGCTATCAACATCATCAATATTATTAATATATCGTGGGCATTCCTCATGCCATCTTAAATTTTATCATGACAGTTCAGCGCCTGTAAGAAAACTGCTCTGGGGGAAACACTTCAGTCAGGATTTCCAAGAAAAACCTCAGTAAAATTAACCGTGCAGCTGTGCTACCAAACCGTTGGCGTGCGCGATTGACTGTGAATATTTTCGCATAATTTGTCCATACTGTTGACGATGGTTAGAATATTGTGAAGAGTAGAGCAACAAGAAAACCACTGATAAAACACAGACGATGAGTCGCGACCAGATCTGATTTGTGAGAGTCATTCAGGATCACATGGATAAGGTGATGAATATTGGCCGCTTCTTCGGAATATCAATAGAATTCCATGCTAATATGGTCCATGCCTTCAGGAGGATCCTTGAACCTTATATGATATGATTAATGAAAATGATAGGTACATTTAGTGGTTAGCAGGGACTAATTATACTCAATTTTCCTTCAAAAGCGGCTAGTGTTTAGAACTCAGATGTCGTGTCGTTTAAGGATTCTTGAAATTAAGTACTGTGAATCTGATCAGGAAGTTAAAAAATAAGAATTGCAAAAGAGAAAAATGCTCGAAAAACGAAAAATGCGAATGAGATCAACTCGATATCGCTCACAGAAAGACCGATGCAGTGGACAATCCCCAATTTCCAAAACCCTCATTGAGGTGTTCTTCAGACACCAACGACGTTTCTTTTAAGACAACTTACATAAACACTCTTCAAGTCTGCCACAATTACGCGTATGTTTGAAATCATATACATTTGAAATGGTACATATGTGTACATTCAGGGTGATTTATTTTGTAACATCTTCTTACAATGGAGGAATCTTCTTTAAGAGTGCATCAAAATAGCCGAATAGCCGAAATTGGGACACAAATTTAAATTTCTTACAACAGACAATGGCCTTTCTTCTTCTTGTTTCACTTACATTCAAAACGAGCTTTTTGTTTTCTTTTGACTTCTTCGTCATAATTAATGACGACGCACACTGATTCAAAGGTCAACAAACTGACGATATCACAACAACAAATTGCACTGCTATCACAACGAATTCGTCGAAACGGAAAATGACTCATCAAAACGTATTCATTTTCTTTCAATAAATGATGTAAACGCGTCGAAATCAAAGAAATTTCAAACGAAACGACGTTGATTAAAAGTGATTTCAATGAATTGAAAATTTACAATCACAAGCATCCAATGATTCTATATGGTTACTTCAACTATGCACTGATTTAGTCAGTGATGAAAACAAGAATGATTCTGAAACACCATGTTGAGACATCGTTCGGCTGGAATAAGCACTGGAACAGGGGTTTATTGTTCTCATCCAGAATTAATAGTTCCACACTAATTTAAGGTTCCACGTATGAAATCATTG